GTTGCTAACAAGGAATGGTTTTAAGAAAATGTTAAAATATTAAGTAGGATTTTTAAAAATTGAGATACTGGGGATTGAACCCAGGACCTCGTGCATGCTAAGCACCCTTTCTATCACTGAGCTATACCCTCCACCCTAAGTAGGATTTGTGTGTGTGTGTGTGTGTGTGTGTGGTGGTGATGGTAAGTCTTTGAAGATAAATATGTTGTGCAAATAAAAGCCAAAATAACCAGGATGAGTCAAAAGCTAAATACAAACACATGTAGCACTGCAACTCCTTTTCAGGACAATGCTAATTGACATTTGGCTCACAGTAAACAACTTGTCAGAACACTAAAAAAAAAAAAAAGCAAATTAATTAATGAATAGACCATGTCAAAGAGTACTGATGCCTCGGTATTTGTTGTCAGTTCCAGACTAGCCTAGAAAGAGAAGAGCTAATATAAATGATTTATTTGTTCAGATATAAGATAGCACTTTTTAATTCCCTCACTTCACAATCCATCTAGTTATGTATTTACTAAAGATGAGTATTTAGATGAAAAAATATTAAAAATTCTTATGTTGGAAAGCCTCAAAATCACTGTCAGATAAAAGTGGAAATGAGGTGGGAGAGGTGGGACAGGAGCGGTCTGATGTCCCCCTGTTTCAGAGGGACCCCAAGAAGGAACTGGGTTTTTCTCAGGCTTGAAGCATCCACACTTCCTCCCCAGGTGGTAGAGCCCTCCTGCTGTGCCAGACACCCTCCTGGGAGTGGCACGGGGTCCAGAAAGGAGGACAAAAGTTCCTCGTCCTCCGCCTCATGGTCTACTTGTGCAGACATACGTCAACAACAGCTGGATTTCAAAACTGACTCCAAGCAGCGCAGAGGCATAAATACCCACAACGGTGCCAGGAGGGAGGGAGAGAAATTCTACCAGAAGGGTTTGGGACAGTTGCCAGGAGGAGATTTGACTGTGAGCTGGTTCCTGCAGAATGGGTAGGATTTTAAGAGGCAGGAAGGGAAAATGGTGGAGAGGGCTTTCTAGGAAGAGTGGACCAATTCATTATATTTTGACACCATGATCACATAGAGCATTATGGTTAAATCGACACCTAAAATAGATCAGTGGAAAATGTGTTGTTACAGAAAATACTGCCAGCAATCCACTTAAAAATAAACTATCTACACATGTACACTGAATATACACACGGTAAGAAAGAGGGGAGAATGAGACTGTATTCTGCTTGCTAAATGTCTACTATTCAAGTCTCAGGAATACAACATCCCCATAGCTATTGTTTCTATTCATTTCAGTTTCTAATTGCTGCTATATTACGGGGTCTCAACGAGAAGGAAGGATGGGGGGCGGGGAAAAAAATGCAAGAGAGTTCCAGGAATGCCAACAATGTGAAGTTGGAGTCCCACTCTAAGTACTGTCTCTCATTGTTCCAAAGGTGACACTGGTCCTTGTGTTCAAAGGGAGCTGGGGGAGGACAAGCAGTTTTAAGGTAGCACAAAGGAAGGCAACTTAATGCCTCCCTAAGGGGAAGCCGCAGAGGGCTGTGCTGGTGGAGAGAAGGATAATAGCAATAATAACAGTAAAGGGGGAAAGACCAGGGGTGGGGTGGGGGTGGGAAGGAGTCCTGATAACTTGGGATGAAGAGGGAGGAAGAGGTGGAGGTAACCTTTGCAGGTGTTGGAGGAAGATTTGTAAGTAATGCAAACGCAGAGGCGACGGAAGCTGTGAGGCAGGATGCAGGAACACAGTCAGGGAGCTCCCAGGAATAATGGAGAGCACACGTTGCATCACCAGGATCACTGAGATCCGAATCCTCTGGGGAAGTCATGTCTTTTTTTTTTTTTGTACAAAATGTTTTGAAGCTGAGCTTGGGGGTGGAGTGAAAGAGGAGGGGAAAATCACCGGGAAAAATTAAGCAGTCTGAAAGGAGTGTAAGATTATGAAGATAAATGTTTACCTCTCCGCTGCATTGTATCTCTTGAAATGAAACTGTTTTTGAATAGTGCTGCATCCGTACAGCAAGAATGTGGGCATTGTGAACAAATTGACTGTCTCAGATGATGTGACACATTTTGATTTCTGCTTAGGAAAATATCTGTTAATCCTATTAGAAGGAGAAGGAGAGGGTCCTGAGCGGGAATGTATGAGATCGAATCACTTCACCATCTTGATCGCACTCTCCCAATGCCAAGGTCTTAAAGTCCCAGCTATTTCCACAAGAGCCGATGCCTCATCCCTGCCCTGCTTGGCATCACATCAAAACCTCTTTTCCATCTCCCCTATCGCTGCCATGGCACTGGCTAAAATCAAGACAAGACTGGATGGCTGCCCTTTCCCTGGCAAACTAAAGCAGAAAAGGGATCTTATTTTACGCTTTCTCTCCATGTAATTTTCCTTCTTTTCTTCCCACCTTCCTCCTAGTCCCCTTTGCTTCCTTCTCCCTCCCACCCTCTTTCTTCTTTAGGCAGTTTGCTGTTTGCTAATATCCAAGTCCAGACCATTCTTTGCGTTTGGCAAAGGAAGCAGCTTTATTGTCTGGTAACTCCAGGGGGGATATGGTGTCTATGATGTTGTCTAGGCCGAGCCTCCCCCAGGAAGGTTAACTACCTCTGGCCTCCTCTCCAAGGGGGAAGGATGGCGACCGCACACATCAGCACCAGCCATCCTCTTCCGCGGGAAAGCAGACCCGTCCCTGCCCAGAAGGACCTTTGCTTCCCTCAGTGGCGGATCTCAGTGGCCACCATGCCACTTATGGGGACCTGTTATCTGGAATCCAGATCTACAGAGTACAAATTAGGAGTAGGGGAAACAGAAGACATTCGTCCCCAACTACTTTCTGGAAAAGGTTCTTCTTGGAGCAACACCCACGTCTGATCAAAGGGTCTGTTCATCTGTCTCAAGAGCCCACGCTGGAGCCCAGCGTGTAGTGAAAAATATGCACTCACAGTCCTCGAAAATTGTATTCATTTAACTCTACCTACAGGTCCTCACCCAGAATCTGCTCTATGCCAAAGCAGCATGTTGCTGTTAATCCTCCTTTATAGATTAGGCAGTAAAATAAAGAGGGTGGGGCTGAAATGCAGGGGACGTCTGCACACGTGCTTGGAAAAGAAGAAAAAGAAAAGCACAGGGATTTCTTGTTCTCTCCTTCATGTTCCGAGTTGCCAGGGTTGTCCAGACACCACTGAGAGATGCAGGGCTTTTTCACATTCGCAGTATTTTCAATTCCACAGGGTAAGTGCTACATGGAAAATGGGAATTTAGAGACAGATCAAATAAATGCCTTTCCAACTGTGGCACATTGCTATTTCCGGATCCCTCCTCCTCCCTTCTTTGTATGCTAAGGGGGAAATAGTGATATTCACACTGACATTACTGAGCACTTACTATGTGCCAAGCACTGTGGCGAGCACGCTATACACACTGTCTCAGTTCCTTCTTCCAGGATCCCTACAGGTACTTGTGCCACTACCACTGCAGAGGAGGACAGGAAGGTTGTAGGAAAGTGAAATGAGTTGAACAAGTAAGTGGCAAAGCTGGGATTTGAACCCCAAGCCGCCCAACATCTTGCACTTAACGTCTGTGCTATAACACCATCTCTAAATAGTCCCTGTAAAAATACATTCTGTGGTTTTTCATTTAAGATTTTGGTGACTGCGCCTTAATAATAATTCTGTTATTATCTTAATTATTACAAGTTCGTGCAATCAAATGGTAGGGTTCCTTGAAGGCAGGGACTGTGCCTCCCTCACCTTTGCATCCCCGCAGCCCTTAAAACAAAGTATCTTGCACAGAATAGGAGTCAAAGAATTATTTGTTGAAATGTGCTTTACATTATCTCTGTATCTAAATAAAGCCCGTCTAAACAAGTCCATTTCCCAAACACCAGGGTTTTCCTCTTCTTTGTAGTCATCCTCTTCTTCCTGTTTTGTTTTCAAAAGGTTGATTTTGAACTGGAGGGACATTGCAGTTGTCTTGTCACTTAGCGTGATTTGAAAGTGAGAGTCTGTGTAGTGCTTTCGCCTGCCCTCAGCAATCAGGCCTCACACTCGCAAGGCTCTGATTGTAGGAGTCGCCTTATTTGCATTGATGAGGATGAGCCAGCTGCTAGAGCACACACTGCACCTGACACAATCACCGAGTTCAGGATTAGTGCAGGGAATCAGGAATCCACTGTGCTGCGTGGCAATCTCAGCCCTACATTAGAGTCACTCATGCAAAATGACCCAAATTTGCAATGAGCACAATTAGCAATCCAAAGATGCATGTTAATTTGGGGGCTGGAGATTTTCCTACATTTCCCTAAATTAATAATAATAGACGCTTTCCTAGACGAGTCTGGGCATGAAAATAATCCAGCGGGTTTCTGAGTTTGTAAAACATGGGTGAACCCCAGAAAGTGTGGATTTCTTTGGGTAACTAGCCAGCCCCTCTCCCCCAGACATACACCCGAGGTATTAAGTTGGGCATCAAATATGGTGAGGGCTTCATGGTGTCATGCTCCTTTTTCAATCAGTTGAAAACAGCTATTCACAAGGCTAAAAATAAAATAAAAAAAACAATAGCTATAATACACTGAAGAGGAAAATTTAAGCTTTAAAAAAGGGATTTGGTATCTTCTATCCTGTATTAATATCTCTGAGGCTATGTTTGGGTCACACATCACTACAGATACACCCAGTGATTTCAGGATTTCCTAAAAGTGCAAGAGATTACGTTGAATTTTTATTAAACAGAGTTTATAAATCAAATGGAACATTCTTAAGCCCTAGGCTGTGTTTCCATGTGTCTGCAGTCTATAGGTATTGAAATGCTCACCTATACTTTAGGAAAAAAAAAAAAACAACATTTTGCAAAAATTGAATAAATGATCATTCGAAGCAAAAGCATGCAGTTCAAAAGCTAAACCTCCCATTGGAGAACAGAAAATTTAATGAGCTTTTAATGGAATGCAATGCTCAGAGTAGTAAATTATTTGTTAGTTGACGATGCAATCAGCATGCTGATTAAGGTTGCTTGGTTTTTTACTAAACATTAACTGAATGAAAACGGGTAGTCCTTGTTCTGCTTGGGGGGCTTTAAGGAAGCAAATGGACTTTCAGAACAGAGATTGTCAATAAAGGTGAGTGCACTCCAGGTGTCATTTGAATATGATGATAAAATACTTCTGATAAATATTTAAAAGCATTTTAAATCCACAATGTTCGCCTAGTGTATTGTGGACTCTGTTTAAAGAAACAGTGGGCCTTAGCAGGCCTACCAACAATCCCTCTCTCTCTCTAGAAAGAAATATCTAGATCTGCTTTCTTTTATTGCAAAAGAGAAAAAGGGGGGAGGTATGCTTTGAAAATATAAGCCAGCATGAACTCTGGGACCAGGAACTGTTTGGGAGTTTGGAATATAAGCCTAAGAGAAGACAAAAAAGGGCAGAAATCAAAACAAAGGAAAATATTCTGCAAGCAAATAAAGGGAGTGACATCTGTTTTTCCGGCTAAATTAAGATAAAAATTTAATTAAGTAGTTTTGATATTTTGATGCTTTAAAATAATTGCTATTCGAATACGTATTTTTTTAAATTTATAAATGATGGCATTCTGGGAGCAAGAAGTATTGTGATATCGGAGTTAAATTCTGTTTAATTTAGGAGGTCTGAAAGGAGAGTAAAAGAAAAAAAGCAAAATTGAAATAAATTATGTAATGCTGATTTTTGCTATTAGATTGTTAATACAGAATTTATAAGGTATATCATTCAGCATCTATTAATCAATATGTACATTAGCCATAAATTATTATTTCTAAGAGAGATTTTGTTACTAAAGCTTTTTTAAATTGCTAGATTTATTTTCCCTCAAAAAGACAGAATTTTGTTTGTTTGTTTTTCTCCCTACCAATTGAAGAATTGCGGGTTTGTAGGTTAATTTTCTTTGAACAAAGTTCTTCTTCTATAAATCCTAATTAGTTTCATCATCGGTGATTCTCTGGCAATGATCAGGTACCCTTAAAATCCGATAAATAACTACCTCTCACTTTTAACTATTCCTGTTTATGACCCAAGAGGTTAAAAGCCTTTGACTGGCATTTGACTTCTGACCTCATATAAATGTTATCTTATCAGTTCCTGCTTGTTAACTTGTATTGAGTGCTTGTCCCTGATGGCTTTTAGATAAAGGGTTGTGGGGTTTTTTTCTTTTTTTCTTTTTAATATATTTCCTATAGGAGCTAAACCATTTGCTTTGTTCTATGCCCAGTGCACGCCAGTCTACACAGTAACCTGCTATGAATCAGTTTAAAGCCCCAAATATACTTTTATTTATTCTCCGCATTATTTTAGTTTAGCCTTATGCGTGGGATTTTATGATTGAGAATAGATATTTATTATAATTAATAGCAGTAATTACTAGAGCTCTTAATCCTTTCACATGTTAGCCAGGAAGCTGGTTAACATGGTATGCTCTTTTTTTTTTAAATGCAAAAAATAAAAAACAATTTTAGCTTTGCCTTTTGCACCAGCATGAGATGAGTTAGAGAGATAATTTATGGAAATCTTGTCTCCCCAGACTTCAGAAGTCCGCCTAATGAGAGAGTCATCAGTAAGATATATCTTTTTTAAAAAATCGAATCCAGACCATGAACAGTGCATTTCTGAACCTTTGGGGAGGAAGGTGGCGGCCTGGCGCTCTCCTTTGCCCTTCTGTCCTAAGAATTAAGAAGGATTTCAGCCTTTTATTCCATTTGCAGCTGTGTGTGTTGTTCACACATTCAAGTGTGGATGTGTGTGAGTCCAGCCACTATGTACAAATCTAAATACATTTGAATGTTTGCATTTTAATCTCTCTATACCTCGATGGCATCACGAGAGCATTCTAGGCAGATGTTGGTGCCTCTGAGACTGCCTCATTTACAAATGACCTACAGTGTGATTTCTAAACAAAGTAGTACATTAATGTCTATGCGGAAAACAGGCAGTGAGGAGGGGGAAGAAGGAAGAGGCAGCCATCTTGGAGGCATTTTGCCTTTTAGCCTCCTTCTTTCTCCTCCCGAGGCTCGACTGTTGGAATATTATCTTTATTTTTAATTGGCCCTCCACATCACGCAGGAGGCAGAGACAAGAGACCTTTGTATCCATGTTTGGAGTAGAAAAAAGTTGTAACCTCTTTGGACTTTAAATAATAACTGCGACTACAGACAAACTACGCCTATTATTCTCTATCCTTCTAAATAAATATACATATAAATGAAGCATATGCCACAGCTTGTAAGAGACCTGTACCAAACCTATTAAGGGAAACAAATGTCTATTTGGACCATTCATTTACCGCTATCTAAAGAATTAATATGTCAGGAAAGTTATCTGCCCTCCCTCCTCCCCCATCCTTTCTTTTCTCCCCAAACACACACTCACACGCACACACACAAACCCACACATTCAGACATCACCCCCTGCAGAAATGGCAACCCTAGAAACTTGTTTTTTTTTTTTTTGAAACAGGAATTCCCTTTCTCTTGGCTCTGAAGTATTTAAGAAAGAAGAAAAAGGACTGGCTTTTATTTTTTTAATTTTATTTTAATTTTTCTGTGTGTGGAGAGCTGCTCCGGCTCTGCCATGTCCCCACACTGCTTTCATCACGCTCATACTCTGGCAACACACAGGTTTAACGCAATTTGTCCTAAGTTTTCATTTCAACCACTGCTTTTCTCAAAGTGGCCAGAGTTTAAAGACTCAAAGCAAAAGGAAAAGAAATACCCCGGCAGGGGGAAAAACAAACCAGCCCCCAAACTGGTGAGGGTATTCACAGCATTGACACATTCTCCAATGTTTTCTCTGTAGTTTTAACACAAAAGCGCTTTCTTCCCTGTTTTGATGTGTTAAAGACGGGAAAGAGAGAGGACACTTGGAAGTGGTAAAATAAGTATTTGGGAGCCCAGGGAAGGTGTCTCTCCTTTTAGTGTTCAGCATGTGTCAATAACCTGTAGATACTTACAATTTAATATTAATTAAATCTTTAAAAAATAGAAAGGGAACAAGAAGTTAAATTTAAGCAAGTTGTGTCGCATCCGTTGAACTTTTAGCTACCAATGTTCCTTCATTTTTGTGTAATTAGATGTGCAAATGAAGCCAATCATTCTGCTATGTCTGAAATAAGGGTAACCAAGGATCCTAAGTCCCTCTGAAAAAGGTGTGAGTGGATCAATAATGAATTATTGTCTAATTCTGGTATTTGACAGCAGAAATTACAAACTTTTACTCCTTTAGTGGAAGTAATCTAAACTAATTTTTCGAGCCAATATTATTTGCAGGTTGTTTGGCTGAGCGAAACAAATGAGGTTTTGAAAGACAAATGACGATCTGATTCCTCAACACTGATAGCTAAATTCTCTGAGCTGAATCCCAGAGTCCTTTACCATTGTACGCTGTATCCTGGCTTAAAAAAACAAAAACAAAAATGACTTAAGCAAGTAAGCTGGATGATATCAAAACTGGTACGAATTATAGCAGCATTCTTATTTATATTTAATTAATGTTTTAATATACAGTCGTCAGTCTTAGTATACCTAAGGTAGAAAAAAGTGTTTACTTAAGTCAGTCTCTATAGCATCAAAATGAGCTCCCCGACCATTTCTGATGCACTGTTTTTAAACCACTGTAGTCAGTAACACTATTAATCGGTGTAGTGAGAGGAGGAAGATTCAGGGTAAGCAAGGCCCCTCTTTTTCTGTATAGCTGTATCATCGAGCTTCATAAAGTTACCCAAGGGCGGCATATTGAAATGCATCGCTTCTATATGCTTATATGTTTATAAACTTACCCTAAGAATATACTAAGAAATTAAGGCCATCTGATTTTTTTTCCACTCCATGCCAAAAATCAAACCTGCTCTGTTTGGAAAAAGCAGATTTCTGCGCTATGTGGACCTTTTTGTATTTCAGTAAAGAAGGTGAGAACATGGCGTTAGAAATATCAAAATGTCTAGGATCCAAGGTATTACTGTAAAGGTTTCAGCCCTTCCTTTGGTGAAGACGGATACAGATGGATTTCTAATTTCCTTTGGCCTCTGTCTTCTCTTTTTCGTGTATTCTTTATTTGTATAAATTAGCTTTGTCCTTTCTTACTAGAATGTTTAATTGGGGCACACTCTCCCAGATAGAGTCTCATTCTCACTCTCCCCAGTTTGTCTGGGTTTTAGGATGGGGAAATGGTTTTCCTTACTTTAAAAGCTTTGTCATTCAGACTCAAAGAGCCAGGACCTTTTTCCTATCCATCTGGACATGCTCGAAGGTCACATCCAAGATCATAAGCCGTGTTTGTATCCTTCTTGTGGGCAAATGATAAAATAATTTCCACAGGCATCTGATACGAGGGGCAGGGCCTGGACACACACCTTGCCCTCTTCCCCTTGGCCTCTTCTGCCCTGAAGAATGAATACATCCATCTCCAAAGTTGATGTTTCGAAGTGACCAGTCAGATGCTAGCAGGTCAGCTGGCTGTCCTCTTGGACAGAGGGTTCATAAATCAGAGAAATGTTGGTGTGGTTGAAAGAAGAAGGTAGTCTAGCCTGAGGGAAGCCACGTAAATCTCTCCCGGAGCATTGTTCCCGGTAGGGAGTGGGGGTGAGAGTTAGGGTAGCTCCTGGGGCCTCGGCTGTTATTAATGCCCCGGCCCTCCTGCAGCGGGTGCTAACTTGTTGTGCATGAGAGCTGCCACCACCTTTCCCAAACATCGGGCCGCTTGGAAAAGTCAAGCACTGCTGAGCCCTGATTTTCATTTAATAGTCAAAACCAAGATGCATTTGGGCTATGATGATAGGACAGCTCCCTTGAAAAGATTATTTGAACTACAAAGGCATTCATTTAGGGCTAGCGATGTTGCAAAAGGGCCTGCTAGAAATTAGCAGCCTGTCCTGGTATTTGGAGAGCAAGAGTGACAACTTATTGGAAGTTCTCAAGGAATCATTTATATTTCACACTCCACTAGGCAGCTGATTTGAGATTGTCTGTTAGCATAACAAAGGCTCTGAGCCTGTGAACTTCAGAAACCTTTCGACCTCTTAGCTGCTGGCATGAATAGCCCCCAGTCCTGCCTATAGAGATCTCCCAAAGCTCCCCTGTTCGTGGCTAAATTGT